GTCCAACGCTTCTGCCACAGCTTGGGCAATCTCAAACTCATGTCGCGAAGGGGCGGGAGGTCTTGGGCCAGGTGGGTAAGGTGGCCGATTCACAGGCGTTGGTGGCGGCGGACCCATTTGTGGCCCTGGCACTCTGCCTTCCGCCCCACCACCTTCTTCACCAATGCCATTCACACCGGTTGGCGGCACTCTACGAGGCCGTCGCTTCGGAGTCCTCCCCCCGCCGATCCTCCCCGCTGCTGCCGGTTTGGCCTTCGGTTTCGGTGCCATGGTGCTTAACTTTAAATATCTTTGATCCAACAAGCTGCAAGCAACTATATGTGTTGGATAGTACGAACAGGTACTAGAAGTTGATTGTCATGTCCGTTTCAATACAACATGCAATAGGTTCCACTGGACGACACAAGCATTTATGCACATGATCATTAGATTAACACATATTTGAAGACAGAGTGCTATTAATAGATGATGTAGTTTAATGTTCGAGAGCAGTATGCCCAATAATAAGTGTATGCATATAATCCATACATATATCTATATGTATGTATGTATGTTATACATATACCTAGGTCTATGTGTAAACTTACCACACACAGTAACGGTTTAGGGTTTAAAAGAGCTTCAGGGTTTTAGGTTTTAAGGAGTTCCATGGTTTAAAGGTACTTCAAGGCAGAGTGCCACCTAGTTTATGCTTAATCATAAGATGTGTTACTACTCGTAGGGATTTGGTTGGGTTAGCTGGACTGTGCCGATTCAATGGGATTCGATATTGTATAACTAGCTCCCAAGATTCAATAAGCTCCAACAAGGCTTTTGGGAGGGGATGCTACATGTGTGCAATTGTCTGGTACAGGGTCGGTGTGCCTTCAAAACGTGATGGCCCGAACACTAAGATTCAATAAGATTTTTTTCGGGTAGTCCACAATCCTGCAAATGTCTTCTAAGATTCAATAAGATTTTTTGGGCGAGCTGGAGGCTGTGTCCCTTGTAAAACCGATAAGATTCAATAAGATTCAATAAGATTCAATCAGATTCAATAAGATTCAATAAGATTCAATAAGATTCAATAAGATTTTTTCGGGGTAGGCCACAATTGTACAAATGTCTTCTAAGATTCAATAAGATTCAATAAGATTTTTGGGGCGATCTGGAGTCGTGTCCCTTTTAAAAATGATGGACCAATAAGATTCAATAAGATTCAATAAGATTCAATAAGATTCAATAAGATTCAATAAGATTTTTCCGGGGCATGCCACAAGTGTCACAAATGTCTTCTAAGATGTTGCAGGGCCTGTGGGGCGGTATGGGGATGGTGTCCCTTCAAAGGCCATATGTTTTTTTAAACACGGATGCACCCCATTGCAGACTTCCGTGGTCCTTTGTTGGGTCCCTCCCAACTGGTGTTCTAGGACAGGTTGGATCCTGCCTTTGGCGCGGATTTGTCCACAGGCATCTGCAGTATCCTTGTGAAATCGACAGACAGCCTGGGATTACAAAGAGACATACATTCCTGATGGCATAATGCAACACAAGGCAACACAATCATGTCAATACATAATGATCATGGAACACATGTTACAACCCATGGCACTCCGCCTTCAGAAACATGTCTGTGACAATGGCATTGCCACACCTCCAAAATTAATAAGACTCGAGGCCACATCACCGACAACACATACACATGAGCCAGTTATTGTGGCACTCTGCCTTGTTACCGAGCCACCTTGTCGACGCAATCAGTCCACAACGGGGTCGTTGACCTCAGGAGCTTCCTCTTCACGAGTGCGGTCGTCAACGAGTTGAGCTTGTATTTCCTGAACGATTGCGTCCACATCATTAGCATCATCTTCGACAGGAACAGGGGCATTGCTTCCCGTGGACCCCCTCGGACCCAAAAAGAACCTTGACATAGAGGCTGAGCTCGCACACTTGAGAGGGCAAGCGGTGGCCTTGTTCCGCACGGTCGACTCACAGTATCGATTGATACATTCGCTGTGAAAGAGGTGGCCACACGATAGCGCTTCCAATGCCTGCATTCCAGGGAAGCAACAGAAAAAGACACGTCATGTGAGAGGTACTGTTCTGAGGATTAGTGGAATGTACAAACAGGACAGGCACCACTATCAATGGTTCATTAACCAAAGGCAAACGAAACCAGCCTGCCTGGCCCGGGTGCATCTCCGAATGGCAAATGACAAAGAGGTCCTGGTTCCACCGGTTCGCAGGTCTGCTCGACTCATTCGGAGCATCCTCCTCCTCCTCCTCAAAGAAGGCACTGTCGTCGGCCTCGCGCTCGACCTCGGCCTCGACCTCGGCCCCGGCCTCGACCTCGGCCCCGGCCTCGGCCATGACCTCATCATCGACCTCGACTGCGACCCCGTCCTGCGACTCTGTGTTTGGTGCCGTCGCCCTGGCCTTGGACTTGGCCTTGGCTTTCGACTTGCCCTTGGCTTTTGCTTTGGCTTTCGACTTGGGTGTCGCAAAGGGCACAACGGCATTCACGTCAGCACCAGCTGTCGAGTCACTGTTCGTGGAGGTGTCTGGCCCTGGCAACTCAACTGTTTGAGGTGCAGTGGTCACTGCTGCAGGAGGCATGACGATCTCCTGATCGGGCCTGATCTCTGCCTCTGCCGGCGCTAGACCATCGTCATCCATGGCAGGAGCATTCCCATCAACTGGCACTCTGCCTTCCACAACCCTCGGCACTCTGTCTTGTTCACTGCCTGCAGCCTGGCTGCCTTCGGTTGCCTGGCTTGCATTGGAACCCGGAACGGCATGAGGGGAGGCAGGCGGCTGTTGAATCGGCACTCTGCCTTGTTCACCAGCCGGGCTGCGACCCACAGCCTGGCTTGGATTGGAACTAGGAGCAGTCGTTGGCAAAGGACCAGAACGGACCACGTCTGGCACTCTGCCTTCCGACGGCGGAACCGTTGGCGGGGCAGCTGGAGCAGGACTCGGATTGAAACTGAGACGTCCCTGCGTCTCAGGGGACTGCCTTGCTCTCGCTCTACGCCTGGCATAGGTCGTGACATCCTCGGTCATCCATGTGGACTGCCATCCACACTCCAAGGCAACCCTGTCAACAGAATGCTCAGACATATTCACCCCCAGTCCCAGAACCGGTTTGGCTATGCGGTTCCAACTGCTGCTATCGCAGACGGATTGACGCCTATGGGCAGTCTCACATCGCTGACCAAGCAAGCTGTATTTCATATCGACCCTGAGTTCACTGACCTTTGTGGTCGGCTTCAGATTGGTCAATATGAAGAGCAGTTGCAGCGCTGTTTGTTGTGGCAGGTCATCCGTGACCGCAGCATCCCATGCACTATGAACTCGCTCGAGCAGAGCTTTCACCTTCACCTCAGTCAGTAAGGCTTATCTAGGCTTTGTGGGGGGAGGGTTCAGGGATCATTGCTGACCTTAGGGATACTCTGTTGATTGAAAAGCAGCCAGAGGGATCGAACGCAATGTCGTGGCGCTTCTCGGGATTGCATCTGCATCGGTAGTGGACGTTGCCAGCCGATCAATCCCGATCGTTGCTACTTGCCTTGCTCTGTTCTTCTTGGTTTCCTTACGAATCCTCCTCACTTCTTGGTCTTCTGATTCCGACGAGGAGGAGTCGTTGGCACTCTGCCTTGATTCACCCACAGCAGCCATCTGCTGCTGTTGCTGCATGTGCTGCATCTGCTGCATTTGCTGCATCTGTTGCTGCTGCTGCATCTGTTGCTGCTGTTGCAACATGAAAGGGTTCATCATGGCCAGTGGGTTGTTCATTCCCATTGCTGGGTTCATTGCCCCCGGCATTGGGAACATCATCTGATCACTCACACGAGCGCTCTTCCTCCACTTTCCCATTGCTCTCGGCGACTGTCTCTGGCACTCTGCCTGGAAGCACCACTGCAGCACTAAGGGACTCGATCTTGAACACACATATGTTGATTGCGGCCAGGTCAAGAAATTCTTG